TAACCTTCGCCACTTATGGCGGCGGCGCGACATCACTCTTGCCTTGAAGGGTAGAGTGTACAATGCAGCGGCACGTTCAACCCTACTGTACGGTTGTGAAACCTGGCCCCTTAGATCAGCGGGCATAAAGAGGCTAGTTACGGTGCCTTCGCAATTTAGCTCACATCTGGTGGGAACACCGCGTGAGTAACGAGCGTGTTCGACGCCTTGTTTACGGCACAGGAAAAGGAAATGAACTGCTCAGCACCGTCATTTCACGCACCAGGCTCCGAGGTATCGGCCACGTGTTACGCATGCCAGCTCACAGACTCCCGCGACGTGCGTTCTTTGCTCGCCGGGGATGTGGATGGAAGAAGAGGAGGGGTTGCCAAGCGATGACTTGGTCCAGGGGAATGAAGGCCCTCACTTCGAAGCTGGCCTCAGTTGGAGCGTCTCGACTCCCTGGTTGGGGTCCGAAAAACGGTGAACACCTTTGGTTGGATACATTTGTTGATATGGCAAGGAGCCGACCTCAGTGGCGTTCGTGCTGTTAGTTTCGTTGTCCCACCCCATCCATTTTAGCCTCCTCCTCCAACCACGATCGCACTATTTAGCCTTTTATAATTTTGCATAGTAATTTATTTTTTCTGCTGCATATTATCCGGCATGTAGCTTACCGGAACGATGCCCATCAGTTACCGGTAGCTCAGCTGACTTGCTCCTGTTGCATTTTATTCGCTTTTTTATTTTAGGTATGACGGCACAGTAGCTGAGGTGTTATTAACCTCTAGCTAACGTGTATACTACTACTACTACACTACTACTAGTACGAACCATTCTATTCTTCATAGGCTTCCACTTTTAATCGCACTTTTGAGGTTTATTTGTTGAAGTATAAGCTATATCGAAGCGGTTCTCGGATTTCGTCTCTTTGTTCATAGTGAAGCAGCTTAACCGAATTACGATATTTTTGTAGTCGAAGTTTGATGCATCGAGTCTATACTTCCTTTGATATTTCCGCCCATATCACTTGCTCGAAGTTTACGCCCAACTTTTGCTTCATGGTTTGCTACAGGAGTAATAGGAGCAGCTTATCGCAGACGTATTTTATTAGGGTTTTATTTGACGACTGTGCTTGTCTTGTTCTTTCGTGTTGCCTTGGTTACGAACCGTCACATTTTCCCAAGAGGACCGTGAATTGTGTGCACTGTGAAATTTATGTGGAGTCGTCCATGACTTAGTTTCTATGGTAGATCCAAGGAGTTGAAACTAAGAGCCGTGAGAGGATGACCAAAAGTGTACGGGAACCGTGCTGCGATCCTCCTGGTCCCGGTAATCCATAGAATGTCGAGACCTATCTTTATAAGAACGCCGGCTAAGCTATAACTTAGCTGGCTCTACTCAACAGCTTGGAAGATGTAGTCACAATCGATGCTGCAGCTTGATTCGATTCAAGTGCTATGTGAGGTGGGCACTTCTACACAGGCAACCTATCTTGACATCAATAATTCGCTGCTTAGTTACTTCTCCAGTGGAACTGAGTAATCTCCTAAACGACAATGTTTTTATTCGAAGTGAAGCACTGCAAAGTTAAAGGTAACACTAATAAGTTGGTTACACTACGTCTCCATTGATGTCGTTAACCTGTGTTAGACTTAATTCGTCATGATCCTAAAGTTGGCTCTATAGGGAACCTTTTTCACCTACTCCCAACTCGTATTTCTGGCAGCTCCTTCTAATTTGGTGACCAAGTAGTTAATTCAGTTTATCTGGACCCAGTCATTAAACGCTTAGTCTAACTAACTCTACCGATTTCCCTGACTCTGAATCAGGTATTTCCTCAGGAATCCGCAGCAGACTATTGCATGAGATATGCGACACTGGCTCCCACACTGGCCTGTGTTAGTAAGCTTCCATCAGTGGATGGGTGATTTGATTCCTTGAAGCTCCTAACCTTAAGTAACTTTTTCCTTTCGGCCTCATCACTCTACCGATCACGGTAAATTTCACAAAGCAGACAGACTGAGTGATGTACCATAAACAACTCTGTCTTATGTGTACGTGGAATTTTATACGTTTCCCCCATTCACCCATTCGTAGCAGGAGCGGCGCTAACTGGCTCGGTTTCTCGGCGAATTTGGCCATACAAATCGCTTCTGCTTACTATCTTGAGTGTTGTCATCAATGTCTGTTCTTGGCTTTACGCCAGCTTTTCGGGATTCACATCTTGGCACTTCTTGAGCTTGGAGTGCACATGGAACTTGGTCGTCAGCTAACTGCTTTTGCCTGCAGGCCACGGGGCGTACACAATATGCTGATCACACCAACGCTTATTAGTTCCATACTCGTTTATTTTTCGCTATCGGGTTTGAACCCCGGCATGTTTGTAATAGTGTAGGAACGCTTTCATTCCACAGAAGAATGTGCGGCGTGCATAGGGAAGCTGTAGTTCCATTGTTCAATCCTGTGCCTTTGCAAAGTTCCTCGCGTATATGCTAGGGGAGGACAAGCTATGCTATATCGCAGTTAGGTTTCAGTCATGACTGCAAAACCGTCATTATCCATGGCCCAATGGTACACCCAACTGGCATCGAAAGATAATGGGTCCCATTCCTGGTAAAGCTGCGAATGTATGCTAATAGCAAATCCCATTAAAACCCGCTTAGTATTTTTCTGGATGGGTAGGAGTTTGTTTGATCGAGAAGTAGCTGCAAAGTAAAGTTTAGGAGTATCCAAGCAAGAAATGTGATCTTTTTAGGTTCCTCTTCTATTCGGGCACCGTCACAACGAAACTTATGGCGTTCTCGTCAGTTTACCAAAGCGTACTGCCAAAACATGAAGTCTATAATCCTTCTTAGATTAAGTGAATGGATTGGGGACTTTCTCTGTAAGACCTGTGTTTAAATTACATCGGCCAGTAACCTAAAAGGGTAGACCACTAGGTCCACTGGTTCCTACATCTTGCGAATAAAATGCGGAAAAAATTCGGTGGTCAAGGGCTGCTGGCTGTTGTTGAACCTCAAATAATTGGCAAGATGAATGCTGTGCCATGACGAATGTTCCAGTTACGTTAGCATTCAAAGCTGCTGTTTGTCGAGCATCTGGAGTTTTACAATCCCTACTCTAGTCAGGAATGCTTTTGTTTTCTGTTTGCAAAAAATATGTTTCCCGAGTCCTTTGTCTAGCCTTGGACAAATGCCACATTCATTTTCCTGTGCTAATTGTTTCCCTTGCATGATCTGGTCACATCCCAACTGGGGCGTTGCTAAATGTTGTCTGTAACAACTCAACGGGCCCCTCTGCCAAATGCCGCAGAGTCTTACGACGTTTTACTTTAAGCGTTGATTGCTCCATTTTGCTCCTCATTGCCTCCTTTCACTGCCCAAGCCATTGGGTATATCAAAGTTCCGAGCATCATCCTAGACTTTTAGCAGAGCACGGTATTTTACCGAATAGAAGCCGATACTTTTTCGAAAATTTTCGCTTCTGAAGTGCTCATGTAAAGGTTATGCGCTGTTTGAAAAATTCCCATGTAAAATCCACCCAGGAATTCCTTGCACACCTCTGTCCTTATCTATTCTTAGTACCACTCGCTAGTGAGGAGGATTTGAAGTGTCCCATTTTTCGTACGGTGTCCAGGCAGCAGTGTGCCTATAACTCTACACGCTAATTTTGTGATAAAAATGCTCGCTATATCGCACATTTGACGTTCGCGACGGATTATATTAATTGAAAAATAGGGAATATAGTGGACCAAACATCATCACACACAATAGCATGGGGAAAAAGATGACAGCAAATCTATCCCCTGGTGGTTTTATTGGGGGGGGGGCAGCTAATCTAGGGACCTACGACTGGACAAATTTGACAATGCTGTTATACTCTCAGCTTATCCATGGGGGAGCTTATACCCAGTAATATCTGGTATTTTCTCTGTGAACACATGCCCCTCCACGTGTTAGGACATATGCATCGAATAAATTATTCATTGCCTTACTCAACTGCAACTTTGACTTGGGAGTTGTGCCACATTGATTGCATTGTCTGCTTGCCATGATAAGGAAAAGAGAAATCTTTTTGACTCAACACATTGGCTTTTGCCCTGTTGTTTTCCCCCCGAGGTTTAGATCTATCGCGGGATTGTTTTAGTAGGTAATTGCTGTTGTCGACTTCGGTCACACAAACGTCCGCATACCTTGTCCGTGACAATACCGCCGAGGCATTGACCATTTTACCGACCACAGTACAGCATTGCTGATAAGTATGCATCAGTTTTTTCCTAAAGGATTGTTTGGCTGTCCAGTAAACTCTATACAAGTGGGTTCACCTCCGGTAGCAACCGGCTGCTGCATCTTCGTAAGTTACATTCGTGGAACGGTAGCTCACTCGCACACAGCGGCAACCCCGATAACCACTGCTAAGGAATTCACAACTGTAAGCTTAATTTCACAAGCACACTTGTCGTGTGGCAATGCTCAGATGGATCACTGTAGGAATGTAACCTCTAAGTTTTTGGGGTGCCGAGCATCCGACACCCTGTCTATGTTTTTATCGATCAGCGAAATACGGTAGCCAAACCTGGTCCGGAATGCGTTATTGTATCCATTTTGTATAGCCTGCTTCGACTTTGTTGCAACAGGTAGTTGTGTGAATTAAGCTTTTGGTGTGAGGCTGGTCGCACTTAGCAGACGTGTTGGGTTTTTCTGCGAGCTTGCCTACAATGAGCCCTGCGAGGCCGGTTAACTGATGGCACTTGGGTAATCGCAGTTACTGTTCACTCCTAGGCTTTTACCATTGAACCTGCCCGTATAGCTGTTCACGGTTACCTTTGTCCTACACATTAAGTAGTTATACTTCTAAATCTGTCCGTCACTGAATCCGAGGCCCTCCTCTCTCCGGCCTTATGCTGCATCTGTCACAGTTTGCCACGGATTTACCTGGACGTGGTGAATGATCTCACTTCTTCGTGCCTTTGGTCACGACTGGTTCACAACGCATCCTGTTTCCGTTGGTGTATTCAGGTTTTTGATCACAATCAGGATTCGGTCATCGACTTTGGTGAAATAAAACGAACGATGCACTTCCTCGGCGAAGCAGTCACGGATGACGAGGTACGAGAGATGATCAGGGAGGCAGATCGGGACCGAGATGGTTTAGTCGATTTTGAAGGTAAAAATTTGATGCTTTTCCAATACAGCTTTGTGAACTTTTTCATTTCAATGCAATTTGCAACTCTTTTATACGCTACATGGTATTGTGCTTTATTTTGACAGATTCCAATAAGTCGATTGATGTTCGTTCCACTTTCACGCACCGCAGATAGGCTAGGCTACACTTGTGCTAGTTGCTATGTTACACTTAGTTTGTTGGAAAGGATCCTGAGCAATTACAAGAATGTGTTTTCTTCCCCGAAATCTTTCTTTCCTGGATTCACTACCGAGGTCGTATGCTAGATTGTTGCTCTCAGTACATTTGCGAATAGCGCTTGTTACAAATTGTTGTTAGGATCCAACATGATTGACTATTATGTGCTAACATTTCGTTTCATCTATGACTAATCAATAATGATATTATGAATAGTTGTGAGGATGACAGTTGTCGGTGGTGGCGTTAGTGTCGTCACCATCAATATAAACATGAACAACATCGGCGTTCGAGGTTTGCATCTATCTACGTCACTTTCTTTTCCCTCCACAAGGTAGTTTGATCCATCGTATTTTCATGTTTCAGCCCAACCGACCGATCATGCTAATGCTTTAACTATTTCATTTCCAATAGCTTTTTCTACAGTTTATGACTGGAGGCGTTTTGTAAAACCATCTTCCGATTACGATTGTCTTATCAATCTTGTGTAACAACTTTTGAGGCACGAATTGAATTCTCCCAACATCATACTTGTCTTGAAGTCAAATCTGAAGTACTGTGTGTCCGTACGGTAGTCACTCAAGTGTCTTAGTATGCAGCGAATTGGGCGTTAGAGACATAGCTCGTGAAATTAATGTTTTCACAGTGAGACTGAGACTGAGACTGTAGTTAAGAGCAAGTAGAAAGGTTTCTGTACAACTCTATCGAATTACGAAAAATCAAAATTTACTTGTGAATTATCAGCAGTTGTGTCTGGTCCGTTAATCGTTTATCCGTGTTCGGTTGGAAATTTGTACTAGCGTTATTATTTCCGGACATACAATGTCTTCTGTTGGCACTGTATGTGCATCGTTTCACAAAAGCACAGGTTTCCAAAATAATCGTCGATACGGGTTTTAAAACACTTCACAGAATCGGCCTCTATTAATCCTTCTGGTAGTGTATTCCATAAGTTTACGATTCTTCGTTCCATACAAAGCTGATGTGATACTTTGTTCATGCTGGGGACCCTGAGTTTGTAACGATGTCCTCGGGTGTTACAGGGTTCTCGCAGGTGAAATATTGGCCGCAGGATGGGGAAGTGATTCAAGTGTAGTATTCGATGGGTCATAATTAGATCAATTCTTACTCGGCGATAGGATAGTGTGTAGAGTCCGAGCTTTTCACAACGTTTTTCATATGGAAGCTTTCGTAGACTTGGTATCATTCTAGTTGCGATATGCTGTATTTTCTCCAGTTTTTCAGTTTCCCATTGGGTTATCGGATGGTAAGCTGGGGCACCGTATTCAAGGATTGGTCTAATGAGCGAGGTGAATAGACGAGGGATGGTTTCTTCGGACCATGTGGAGAAACTACGTCGTAATGCCCAGAGCATACGAAGTCCCGCACGGTACAATTTCTCTGTATTTTCTAGTGATCTTAAATCATGTCGTGAGAGAACTCCTAAGTCTCTGACAGATGTGTTGGGATGAAGCAACTGGCCGTCCAAGATGTATGATCGAGTGGCTGGACGTCTGGTGATACTGATGAACTCCGACTTGCTTGCGTTAAGAGGGAGTTGCATTTCAGTGGACCACGTTGCCAGTCGCTCTAAGTCATGCTGGAGGCGAGCGCAGTCGTCCTGGTTTTTAATGATCCTCCAGATTTTCAAATCATCTGCAAACAGGACACATGGTGACTGGAGCTGCTGCGGAAGATCGTTGATATGAATAAGAAATAATGCTGGCCCAAGTACAGTTCCTTGAGGCACGCCACTGGTCGATGGGAACCATTCTGTCAGATAGTCATTAACCTGTACTCTAAACCTTCGTCCCACAATAAACTCTTGTATCCACTGAAGTAACGTGCCACCGATTCCGTATGTCCTCAGTTTACGAAGGAGTACCTCGTGGTTCACTCTGTCAAACGCCTTACTAAAGTCGATGTACACCACGTCAACATCCTTCTGTTCATTGAGAGCTCGAACCCACTGGTGGTTTGCGTACATCAAGTTGGTGATGCAGGATCGCCCTTTCGTAAAGCCGTGTTGCGCTGGCGTCAATACGTCCATCGATTCGAAGAACGACAGCAGACACTTTTTCACAATCTTCTCGAGAACTTTGGATAATACCGAAGTCAAACAGATCGGTCTATAGTTCTCTAGTTTACTCGTATCACCACCCTTGGGAAGCGGTTTAACTATCGAGCATTTCCAGTCGTTCGGGACGGATCCTTCAGAGAGCGATCTATTGAAAAGGTTTGTCACAACTGGTGAGATGATAATCGATAGGGACTTGAGTATTAGTGGGTGAAGTCCGTCTGGCCCGGGGGGCTTTGCACCATTGAGGTTGACGAGTAGCTGATGTACTTCGACTGCATCACATTGTAGGTTGTCGAGCAAGACTTGCGCAACCTGTGCCGGTACTGGAACAGCCGCCGGTTTACTGGAAAATACAGTGAGGAAGTGCGTAGCCAGGGCGTCCGCGCGCTCCGCGCTTGAAATGAGTGTCTTCCCGTCTAAGCTCTCTAAGACCGGTAGGTCGTCTCCAGGTTTCAGTTGACGTTTCAAGTAGGCAAATATTCGCTTGGGTGCAGTTGTGGCCGAGGATGCTAGCTCCTCTTCGAACTGCCGGCGTTTCTTGATCTTTGCGGCGTTACATAAGTTACGCTGTTTCCTGTACACCGCGTAATCTTCATCACAACCCGAGCTGATGTATCTATCCCAAAGTTTACGACGTCGTCGCGCTAACTGTCTGTATTCCCTATCAAACCAATGCGGTTTGACAGGTCCGATTTTTGGATACTTAAGGGGAACGAACCGAGTACAGAGCGAGTTAAGCTTCCCCTTTATTAATGACCACCACGCCTCAAGTGACGCATCATGTGGTAGTGTCCAATCAGTCTGACTTGCGGCTTGGACGAGTCCGTTGAAGTCCGTCTTCCAATAGTTGAATGTCGGCTTCTGTTGATTGTAATATGGTAACGACAGTTCTAAGTTTACTACAATAGAGCAGTGGTCACTGTTCGCCAGAGGTTCGATGACTCTGATCTCTTTTGGCTTCTGCACGCAGCTCGTAAACATTAGGTCCAGACAAGATGCCGAGTACGGAGTTACGCGCGTCGGTTGGATGACATGTTGCGTTGCTCCAATTTCAATAGTTATTTTAGCGAATTGAGCCTCAACGTTGCCATGACCGGGAAGAAGTCGAACATCTGGCCAAATTATCTTAGGTAAATTTAGATCCCCCATCAGTAAGAACTGAGGGCGGCTCATGTGCTTCTGTACATGTGGTATCCAATCGCAGCAACGGTTTAATGGGCTCCGGTAGATAACCCCCACAATTAGTTCTGCGCACCTGAGACGGATTGTGCACCACAATTGCTCGCATAAACTATCCTCGCTCCGATAGGTATTGATAAGTTTGCCAGATAGTGACGATTTTATGTACAACAGAACACCACCGTGAGCCTTTGATTTTCGGTCACATCGGAAACAAGAGTATCCTGACAACACGACTTCTTGGGGTATGATGTCGGAGTTCAGCCATGTCTCTGCAAGTCCTAAAATGTCCGGCCGCTCCGAGACAGCGAAGCGGCACAGTTCGTCACGTTTGTTCATTAGGCTGCACACGTTGGCGAATGCGACACGGAGGTCCTGGGAGGTACTGCGGGACGTGCCTGGAGGTTGAGCAACCGGTTGATACGGGGTCGTACACCCTTCTTGATCACCCGAAAATTTACAACTTGTAAGTCAGTCTCACCTTCCTCTGTACGGCGTTTGAGCTCAATGACCGCAGTCTTCAAACGATCCCTGTCCTCGGGTTCCAAATCTCGGCGGATGTGAACTTTTATGCCTTTCAGCCTTGACAAACGAGACAGTATGAGCTGCGGCATATTAGGATTTGCAAAAGTGATCCTCAGAGGTCGACATGACTGGTTAGTTTTCTGGCCAAGTCGGATTACTTGTTTAATCGTCACACTGTCCTCGCCCACATCCAAGAGTCTATCGATGAGCCCCTGGAGGAACTCAACATCGTGATCATAACGTATCTGAGGGTTTTCATCTTTTGACTCCGGTACGTGGAAGACCATGAGATTATGACGCCTCAGCGAAATCAGTGATGAACCTGTGGGAGCAGAACTAGAGGCGCTTAACTGATTGGGTAGTTGTTTATCAGCAGGTGACGTCTGAACTCGATTACGTGGGCCCTTGCGCTTTTGAGTGGTCCATGGATCCTCGGTGTTCAGAAGTTCACAGACAGGCTCTGAGAAATTCACGGACCGATCAGTGAAGCGGCATTTCGTAGCTTCTGAGTCTGAGTCTTCTATCGGTGGGAAACATTGAACCTGGGGTTCGGCCGGGGTCGAAGACGCTGGTGGTGGTGCAGATCGCGGCGAGACAATAGAAGGCGAGGTGACAGAGGTACTTTCACGAGGGCGTTTGATCCCACGTGGTGAACGGTTTGTTTCTATCTGAAAGGGAGATTTTTCCGTAGTTGTTTGCGGTCGCTGCGTATTCTGATGTCTTGTACCGCGACATTTATCACATATAACTTGAAAAAACCGATGTCGGATGTCGAACGATTTTCGAAACACGTCAACGGATAACCCAATGCACGAAATATGGAACAAAACATCACAGCTGAAGCATCGAAGTGCATGAGCCTTATTTCCCACAACTCTCGAACACGAACCACAAGTAGCTTGAGACGGCATCACAAGCTAGAGCAGATCCAAGATGACGGACAGAGATGGCAGTATGGCAAATCAGTGAGATCTCCGGAATTAGCCAAAGAATAGCTCCCAAATTTGCACCGCTTGGAAAATACGCCAAAAGAAGAATAGTGGTGCACAATTCACACAGATAAAACGCTGCTAACACAGTAATCTGAGGCAAAAGTAGTATCCAGCACACGTTGATCCAAAAAAAGTGTGTGGTTTCTGCTGTTCAGAGACACGTTACTTCTTCTAACCGTCACTAATCTTGTTTGGTATTTGATGTAACGTGTCAGCGCACCTGATTTTACCTTTCAAACTCGGCCTCTGTTCTAATCGGATCGTTTTAAGTCATAATAAGCACCTACATTTGGTATGCATGATTTCCCAATTATACGGGAAGGCTGCTGTGTTGGATGGCTCCGTTGAGAATCGCGGCTCCCACCCACCCACTGATTGGTCTCATTCCATTGGGTTTACATTGAATATGAGGTGTGCGAATGGAACTGTAGTTGATGCACCAGAAGCCACCCATAGTTCCTCTGTATGCGCAGTCGTCCTGTGGCTGTCCTGTGGAGACCATATAGACAGGCAAATTCAGACACGGATGTCGTCAATCCCATGCATGTGCTGGTAAAAAACCACGAACTCTTGATAAACATGTTCCATTAAGTTCAATTTATAACAGGAGGCCAGCCGACATGTTGTCAGGTTTATAAATTGCTGATCATTGCACTTTCCTGATGATGTACATAGATGTAACTGTTAGAACTCGGAGGCTAACGTATGTTATACTACGTATCGTTTTTCGTTAAAGCAAGGTTCATCTCTTGGTGTAATTCAAATTGTTATTGTTGCATATGCATCACCGATGGGTGCATATTCGCCATAAACAAATAGTCAACATGGGAATAACATCTTGTAAATTACAGTCAAAGCCTGACAAAAAACCAAGATTTCGGCAGTTGTTGTTTCCAGCGTGCGAAGACAAACATAACTAATGTCATTATTCGCCCTTTTGTGAACACGCATCAAAATATTTATAACTAAATCTCAGCTTCATTTCCCCCCTTTCTATTTTGCTCAGAATTCAAACACATGATGAAGCTGTTGCGATCACGGGATTCACACTCTTAGACCAAGAATCGGGGGGGTGTGTGTGTTCAGAACAACTTGTTGCCTCCAACTCCCTTTGTTTTTGTGTATGACGAAACAACGCTCATGCAGTCAACTGTCTTTCCTCAACTATCCCTCGTTTCAATGTTTTGCGAAACCATCCATCTTACTGTCCACATCGTAATCAGCGAGGTTGATTTTACCCGCTGTAGGAGGGTAGCGTTATATCCACAGCTTATTCCTCAGATCATGTTGTTTTGCCCGCCTTTGAGTGCGTTTACGCGTTTGTATTGCGTTTGTAGGGAGGTGAGTGTGCTATCAATTATTTCGCGTGCTTGCTCATGATATTTTCAGATGGGCAGCTTGCGTGCTCTTTCCCATCGTAAGTCTCTACTACTGCTACCGCTGCCTTCTGACTTCCCTCACGCAGTACTTGTCCATACACTCCTTTTTGTCAATGCGTCACATTCCTGTGCCATCGACGAAGCGTGTTCGGTTCACTTGGGTCCATCCTTTGCACTATCAATAAAGACTGGAACGAAGTACTATTGTACTCCTCCGCGTTGTTCCAACATGTGCCTTCCTCCAGTTATCTGACTGCCCTCGGCACTATTTTGTATTCACATGTACATGCAGCGTGATGTGTGAGGTACGCAGGAGCCGATTTTTAATCTCAATTCACCCCCAATACGCAGCCACCTCGTATTCACATTCAATGTGTACCGACATTTATCTACATTACCCATCTCTCTCGCTGTCCAGTCCGATGATCCGTAGTGTGTAAACCCATATATTCACATGCTCATCATGATGGGTGCTGCGATACAAAACACTTTTAAAACAAACTCTCTTTCCAGTACTTGGGTTCCATCTATTATCATGCGCGCTTTTATAGTTTTCTTGTTTTGCGAAACTTCAGTACGTCGGTTCACAACTTTTAGCGTGAGATCGTCGTTTCTTTGTGCTGTCCATCATTTTCTTCTCATGGTTGGCTTCAACTTCCCAGATTTGCGGCAGATTTGCTCAGTTGTTTAAAGGCTATGGCCTTAGTAACCCTTTCCATTGTCTCTCTGAAACTACAACTTTTGACTATTTATGTAGTTTTCACTGTTTTACTGTTCAGTATTTGATACCTATAATATTCGCACCCACCTTATTAAATTTGCGTTGGGCTGTTTTGCACTTTTTGAACTACTTTTTCATCGAAACGGACGATCCCGACTGGTTCGTCTCCAAGTTCCTTTCCTGCTTCGAGCCGTGAATGAGAATTCCTTTGGGACTGTTTCCCACACGCTCAACCAAAGTAATCGTTTACTTGTTGGTATAACTTTCAGATGAATTGTTTGTAACCACCATAAACTTTGTCATTCCCGCTATCTTACTGGGTTCCTTTGATTAATTTCTACTAGCATTTGTGTATATGTACATCGGGGATTTATTCATATGGGGTCTGCTTAAAGACTGGAACTTGTAGCGCGTTTGTTAGGAAAAATTCGCCACTGAACTGGAGGTCCTCGCAAAGCGATGGGACCAACTTGCGAAATTCGTGCGTTTGCTTCAGCATAGTTCCTCTTGAAATCTTCCGCTAACCGGTTACACAGCTGTTGGTACGCGCCTTGGCAATATGTGCCGAACATAGTTACGTAGAGTACTTATTTGTTTCCATGAGTTATAAATGATGATTGCGTGAGCAAATCTTTGTCGGACTCCTTGTTTCTCAGTACACCTGTGGGAACGTGGTACGCTATAACTCTACTACACAGGTGCCGGTAATTGGTCTAAAATGTCACTCCTGAACAATTCTGGTGCGTCCCTATGGTTATAGTGCTGGATACTAAACTTTAGCAAAATAGAAAAACAAGCGTTTCTCTAGCACTGCTTTAGAAGGGTAGCACTTAATCTGTAGCTTAGTGAACAGGTGTGCTTTTGCTGTTGCATGATTTATTTCTTACTAGTGTGAAAAACCCAATCTGTCACCGCTGATTAATTATCCAACCTTTCATAGTTTTGATTCCCAGATGATCGGTTCAGGCTGAGGCCAATCTCAAGGTATTTATCGTATAGTATGCAACGGGAGATATTCAGTTGCTTATTTTGACTGGTGTAAAAGTACTTCGAACGAACTTTAACAGCGCCGTGCATACTTCGTTGATTGGATTGGCTACCTGGTATTGCTCTATGCACTAGACTAGACATCTGGTTTACTGCTTTGTCGAGCTCTTCAAGTTGAGATGATTGGAGCTAGCACTCTGATTCCTGAATTCGCCGTTACCCAGTAGGTTTTGTATTACGTGATCACATAGCAACAACAATAATTGAGATTGTAAATTGTCTTCGAAAAGCAGTACACATCCGAGTTGGAGCATCATTTACTTTGGGTTGTATCCAGACTATTCCGAGCAGCAAAGCCGCGCTCTAAGCAGTAGCAATTTAAATATTGTTAACTGCCAGTTTCAGTCTTGTCTGGAGACTATTGAAAATTGGAAAATAATAGGGACTTCACGGTGCCCAATGTCGACATGTCGAATGCATCTGTCTGGGGCCTGATACCTAGCTTCAGATATCTCTATTTGTGCAATCCCGAAAAGAAAACTGTTTTGAGTTGCAGTGCAGACAGGATGCAATGGTAAATGCGTCCTGACGTTGAGTGCGGCTTATCTGATTAATCCGACTGTGATAAGCCAGGAAAAATTCATTATCGTAATCCAAAACAGCTGGATATTCAGCAAGGAGCCGACAAACTGGCATTTTTGTGAAAATCGTGAGTTAGTGTTTCACACCAAATATTAGCATTTCCTAAGGTACTGAACTTCATTAGTGTAATATGCCCTTATTAGTGTGCCCTTCTCATCCTTTACACCATTACGTCCCTTATTTGTGTTTAGTTTCTGTATCAGATTTCGCACACAAAGCTACGACTGGTGTGGCTACCGTAAATAAAACTGTCTTAGAAATAATAGCTAAAACGTATAGGAACAAAAGCAATTAATTAGCAAGGTAGACATATGAATACGGGACTGTAAGAGGAAAAATGAAATTGTAATTATTGGTGGAGCATTTTAATCGTTGTAAACATCAAAATCAGCACAACACAGCCGTTTGCATAGAATAGCCTCATGTCGTGAGAATGTAACAAGTAGCAGCGTGGCCAATGTTGAAGATCTTGTGCAGGGAGATATCATTGATCTGTCTTTTTGAAGTTTCTGTCTAGCTACGTCTCTATTCATAAATGACAGACGCGTAGAATTGCAAGTAACGTACCCAGAAAGTCTGCCAGCCTAGTATACGCACTAGAAAACAAAACCATCAGAACGTTTATAGATGACTTGCTAATGGACTTCATTCGGTGGATTACCGTATCACACCGATTTCCCCAACCGGATATATGCTGTGTAATTTATATATTAGTGTTACAAGGCCATCGCGTTGCTACTACCTTTGGTACTTGGTAAACAATACTGATCCACATGGTTGTAAACTTTACATCGTAGTGATTTCCGTTGTACCCATACATGACCGAAGTCTGGCTAGATGTATATACACACCTCTTCATAAGATCTGCTCTCCGAATACATAGTAGAATAAAAATTGCTCCGAATAAACTAAAGAGTTTGTCTAAGAAAAATAAATTGGACAACTTGCCTCACTCCCAATGGATACAATTGCTATAGCAAAGGATAACAAAATTTGTCCTACAGTTGACGTTGAAGGATATTAACGGCAACTGCACCATTTGTTTCCCAACGGTAGTGACACAACCGGTTAACATAAAGACAGTTCTTCGTTGCTAGTTTACTCTAACTATGCTTTAACAGAACGTCTGCTTGATAAATGCATTAAAAACAAAAAGCAATTCGGCGGAAGGTTATGCTATCGAAGAAATTGTCATGAGTATGTCGGTGTAGCACACTAAAAGCAATTTCATCAGGAAAGACGGTAACATTAGTAGCACGAAGCTGTTTAATGCATTTTTAAACATGATAGAACGGCGCGGCACTTGTCAAAGCGCATTAACGCGCACTTTCCACGCTGGTTGCGTCGAGGCGGTACCGGGGCTATAACTAGCTCTCTTATGGCTCATCTGGTTGATACTGTGCATGAAGTCAACGCAACTGAGCGCCTTTGGAATACTATACAAGGTTCCGCCACTCCAGTCGAAAAGCCTGCGCCTCCACGCTCTCACTATAGCCAAGGCGATCATTATTCGGTTGTAACAACCAATTTGTGTTCACAAAGGAAACTGACTGAAGCTCCCAAACTACCCTGGCCAGATAAAATGGACGATTCGGAGGCCAGTGGCAATCGTTTGACTACATCTTTGCCTTAGTTTGCACTTAACGTTTACGTTTATTGCTGGTTTATACCCCCAGTTGGCATGTGCTAAAATTCCATTTCAACTGCTCGAAACCACTCTTACGCCCATGGCTCTTGTAGCATTATGATTGTGAGGGTCTGACGATGAATGCATCAAAACAATTGTCTACCTTCGGTCCCTTGTTCTTGATGATTAAATGGAAATTTTCCAGTTACTGAAATGTGGTAATGTTTTATAACAAGAGTATGTAATATTCCTTGTTTAGCACAAATAATTATTTTTGGATGTTTGTGAGTAGTGTGAAGTTTGTAGAAAATAGAAGTCACGATTAAACTTCACGCACAATAATGTGCCTCTACGAGGAATCGAACACCGGTCCAAGAATTTCCGGTCCGCTGCTCTACCACTGAGCTACCACTGAGCCCTCGGTAGCTCAGTGCTAGAGCAGCGGACCAGAAATTCGTGGACCCGTGTTCGATTCCCCGTCGAGGCACATCATTGTGCGTGAATTTTAGTCGTCACTTCTACTTTCTACAAACAAATAATTATATTGGTTTTTGAGAAACGACCTGTGGATGTATAATTGAGGTGTCATTCAGCTGACCATATTGGCTTAGTTGCAGGAGATCGGCGGTCTGGATAGAGTTGGAAACGCTTGAAACCTACGAAGAATGGTAGGACGCTGTAGGAGTTCTCAAGTTAGCCT